CGGCCAGCCCTGGTTACCTAAGCCTTGCTTGTGCCTCGGGCTGGCTCTGGGCAGCTGGGCAGCCGCCATCCAAGGCTTGTCTGCACCTCGGGCTGGCCCTGGGTGGTGGAGGTGGGCCCAGCCATGCCGCACACCTGCCGCCCCAGTGGGGCTGAGGGGACTGGGCGCTGCCATCTTGTGGCTGTGGGCACCGGCATCTTGTGAGGGTGTGATGATCAATTAGCATGTTCCCTTTTTATTAGATAGGATGGCCAGCTTGAAAGTCTTTGCCTCTGTGACACTGGACTAATAATAATATAATTATTTTATATAATACTGATTTGTATAAATTCAAATCACTTGAATAATGTGACTTGAATATGTCACATTACCAGCAATAAGTGCATAGTTAATAATACCTCTCTTCCTGGTGTGCCATGGCAGGCACTGTGCCACAAGCATTTTTTAAAACATGCAATACCTGACTATTTAGTCAGGGGCACTGACCTATATTCTCTTAGACTGTCAAATAAAAAAATGACAATAGCCACCCAGTGAAAATGAATCAAAATTATACCTATTTTTTGGTCAAATCCACAAAATATGTATTTTTTTGGTATCGCACAGAATTTTAGTAATTAGCTTATGTATGCCATGAGATGAAAAAGTTTGAAAATCACTGTTCTAGCAATTGCTGCTTGGTTACTCTAATAGCAATAATTATGTAGGTATATAATCCCAAAAGGAAGCACTTATTTTAGGTTTATGAGTTATTTCATAGACATTTGAATTATGTTCTTAACAGTTGCTTTTATTCCAACTCCTTGACTCTTTTTAAGGCATATCTTTATTCTAACTCCTTGAATCATTTTAAGGAAGGCCATAATGTATAATTTTTTTTGGTTTTGTTTTGTTTAAAATGGGACTCTCCAGACTCTAAACAAATTAGAGACATTTAAAATAGTAGGACATCTGTATTCTTTTGATATGTTGAATTTTTGCATTTCAACTTTGGTTACAATATGTGTTTTCAGATAGGAAATAAGTGGATGTAAATTCTGTTTTTCTTCTTACTCCTTTTGGTTTGGAAGCCACAGGAAGCCAGCTTGCTAACTCCCTGATACCTGATATTTCCCTGACTAAAAAGAGTCTCGGATGATGATCAGCATTTTCCCCACGACAGAAGTTGTGCATTCTCTTCTGAAAGACACAGATGTCCCTTAAAAGGGTCCAGAGTATTTCCTGCAAAACTGCTTCAGTCAGGTGAGCACCTATTAGAGCTATTATCAAAAAGGCTGAGGGAAGAAATAAATGCATTCTTTCTGCAACAGAAAAAAACAAACACACCCCAAAATAGGCAAATCACTTGAACATCAGCAAGATTAGAGACCAGGAGGGAAAAGTACATAACTTTTTAAAATGAAAATTTGATTTTAAAAAGTAAAAGATTATCCTTTTAATCCTCTACTTGAAATTTTCTCACTTCTTTCTCATTGCTGGAATTTTGTGAAATATACAGAAGCATTTGTGTTAACATTCTGAATTTACTTTTTTAAAATTAGGAAGATGGTTTGTTTGGGTGATCCGTCCTGGAGTCTGTATTTATGCAGATTGCAATCTACATCTAGTCACAAACGGAAGAGTTACTTTCCTAGGACAATTTCGGGATCTCCTCGGGTGGGAAAAATTCTGCAATTGACAAACTACGTAACTTTCAGGCAAGGGCCCATAACATCCAGTTAATACCACGCCCGTGTGAACTGTTCCTTTTCCCTTAAGTCTTTATGGATCATGATCCCAGATTCTATCAAACTCCATCCAGCTGAGCTGCAGGCAATACCCGTGTTGGGTGCTGACCGAGGGCCACCACTGGAGGGCGTCTGGACGCTTCCAAACGGCTCCGAAGCGCCCGGAAATCCTGAACTCCAGAGCTGGAAAGCGCAGGACAGACAGCGTGATATTTGGTTATGTTGGGCTAATAAGTACAGGGGAGAACAGGTAAGTTTGGGAGCAAAACTAAAGTGCTCTCTTTCTTGGGATCAGCCTTTCCCCACTGAGGCAGAAAACTCCCTAGAGAGCAAGAAAGAATAATACCACGCAGACTGAGCCCGCGGAGCCCCGCGAGGGAGAGTCTCCAGGGTTTGCAGCCCCGCTGAGCCCGGCGCCTGGCTGGCTTCCCGGGCGCTGGGGGACAG